GGTAAGATGGGGAAAGGAGTAAGAATGTGAGTCAGAAGAAGAAAAGGTCTAGTTAAGTAAGCTAGAGAAAACTGGTAAAAGAAAAGAGGAAAAAGATTTTTTTTTCGTCTTAAGTTTTATTACTCCTTTCCCCTTTTTCATCTTTCTGTACATGACAGACTTTTATATTTTTTTGACTTTTGATGCAAATGACAAGCACACTTTATGTCAGAAGGTAGATAAATGCTACAGTATTAATATGTAGATACGTAAGCAAAAAATTTTCTCCACAGTCTTTTTGCCCACCCTGTAAAAGGAGTTAAATTGATTTGCCTATGTCACATGATTCCAGTCACTTCAAAAGCCAATGTTTTTTGGGGTTTTTTTTTTTCTTTCTTGGCTTTAATTTCTCTTACTCTTATTTGTAGAAAAACTTGGAGGCATTTAAAAGTATTCTGATATCTGAGTGATCTCTTGGTGTATCGTAATGGCTGGCAAAAAGTTAAGTCCTGGGCAAAGAGAGATAAGAAAACAAAAATTATTCTGATTTGTAAAAGATGCTTTCAGATGGAGACTCTTAACTTTGGTTGTTTTAAAAAGTACAATTTAAGAAACATGAAAGACAGTGAAAGGACATTTTTTTTTTTTTCGGTAAGATCAAAAGAGGCCCATTGCAATTTTTCTCCCATGTTTGGCTTTGTGATCCCAACCATTCACTATTGTTTCCTTGACTGACTTCAAAGGAATATGTATTCTTTCTAATAACTGAGCAATTATTAGATTTTTTAATATATATATATATATATATATATATATATAGCTTTGGTTGAAGACTAAGAAAGTTCTTCAAGATTTTTTTTCAAATTTAATTTTTACTATGGTTCAGACCATTTTCATGGTTTTGAGGTAAAATTGGAACATAAATTCTTCAATGCCTTCTGAGTATTGTCTTGTCTTCAGGAGTTTTGAGGTGTCACATCTTCATGTGCTGCTGGTTGGGGCCATGTCTATTCTTTATTTCGGTCATCATCACTGCAGTTGGTAGTAATGTTTTATTTATATCTATTATGTTTGGTAGAATAATCTCTAGATATATTATGTCTATTTTATTCTAATTCTTGCAAATTCATAGATTAAGGGAGGTAATTTAGTTTAAATTCTTTATTAATGTCTGAAAAAAAAAGATTTTAAAAAAATTTTTACTCTTTGAGCATCCTAAAACATTGCTTTTATAGACATTTTAAAACATTGTTGCTTTACTCATAATTAATTTAAACTAAGTTACCTCCCTTACATATTCTTAATGTAAATTGACTATCACAGAGCACGTTTCATGAACATTTACAAAAAAATTCACAACTACATTAATTTTTGTCTCATCAGTCCACACCTGAAGATGATCTTGGATGAGATTCAAAGTACTTGGGAAAATAAAAAATATAACCAAAACTATGGCGTCTTTCTTACTCAGTTTTGTAACAGCACTAAGAAATTGATCCATGAATTTGAGTGGATTAAAATAAAAATAGGTATAATATGCCTAGATTATTCAACCAAACATGCTTGAATGAAGATCTGCTGTCTAAATATATATATATATATATATATATATATAAGATTATATGAAGACAAAAGGGATCTTTTACAAAACAACATATTAAATGCATTAGTTGATCACCATAATGTGTCTGACCATAATTTTGATTTAAGTTGAAAAATGTATAGAAAGTGCTTTAATTGCTACATTGGGTAAAAAGAAGTGAAGTTATCTGAGTGTGCGTGAGTTGCAGTCAGACACTGGAGGTGGAGTGTTGCCATGCTGGTTTTCCAAAACAAGGCTACTCCAAGCTCTGGCTTTTTTTGTATTCATTTTACCAGAAGGAGTGGGATGCGCAGGTCTGCCACCTTGTTACTTAAGGCCTACCTTCCCTCTCTTCTCCACTTTTTTCCTTTGTGAGGGACTTATAAGAACAGAGTCGTTCTGCAAGCTCTCTTCTTCTCACTTAGATAATTGATCTCTGTTTGGACGTGGGTCACGAGCTAGGCAGTTTCACAACACTGGCTTCTAGCTACTCTTAGAGTCAAAAAGAAATTTGTGACAAGATCATACACAGTAAATTTATGTCCAGGTTCTTAGAACATAAACTAAACCTATCCATAAATCCTGCCTTAAACCTCTCCACAAATCCTGCCCTAAAATCTCCCCTAAGCCTATCCACAAATCCTGCCTTAAAGAATAATATTTTAATTCCACATGCCACATATTGGAGTGGGTCATTTTGATTTTCATTGTAGGAACTGTTTGATGGAAATATTTGTTCACCTACCATGTACTCTTTGACATGTCTGTAAGGTTAGAATATATGCCAAAAGGACAGTCTTATTTGCTACAAATTTCTCCACTGAAAAATGAAACAGCATTTCATATTTAAGTGCTTATATGACTGAAGATCTTTTCATATTTATCAACTGAATCTGGATGTCAGACTTTGTTAGATTCTGTCCAAAGCACTACTATTTGAGTTTTCTTTTTTAAGCTACAATCTTCTTGTAGTGAGAATAACTTCTTGTAGATTTTTACTTTTAACATACCTTACAAATTCGATAAATATTGGAGATTGGGAGAGAAAAAAAGGATCTAAAACCAAGGTAAGTAGGTATGGGGATGTTTCTCTTTTTAATGAATACATTTTTTTCTTAACTGGTCGTTGCTATGGTAATGATGTGCTAAAATAGAGGTCAACTGTAGTGATACCCTAACTACTGCAATTCCATTCCTAGCAATAAAAGATGATGCTTTACCATTTATATTGTAAGGGAAACATCTTGGATGAACTTTTTACAAGTAAGTTCTGGGTCTTTCTTTTGAAATTGGTTTTGAATTAACTATGCACTGATCAGAATACATCAACTCTTTTTTTTTTTTTTTTTTTTTTTTGCATTGCTAACCATATTTTCTTTCACTCTTTTTTATTTTGACTTTACCATCTCTGGCTTCCCTTTTTTCTGTCTTTGGTCTTTTCTTTCCACTTCTTTTTCCATCTACGGCCTTGCCTTTTCACTCATATTTAGTCTCACCTTTCAACCTCCTTTACTATCTGTGGTCCCTACATTTCTGCTCTTTTTTTCTGACCTTGGCCTTGACCTCACCTTTTCCCCTTTTTCCCAACTTTGGCCTTGCCTTTCCACCCATTTTTTTTTTTTTCAAATTGCAAACCTTACCTTTTACCCCCTTTGTCTTTTTTCCTCTTTCTCTCTCTCTCTCTATTCCCCTTTCTTTTCCCTAGTCTTACCCAATTTCCATAATTCTCTCCTATTCTCTGTATACTCCACATCATATCCTTTTCTTTGTTCTGGATCAATTCTTATTAAACCTTAACCCTAAACTCCACATTATTTCTATCTACAAACATGAGGAATAAATTCTTTTTAGATCCAACTTTTCCAGTGCAATTCTCTTCAAGGCAAAAGAAACTTTTACCAATTTTTCTATTAAGTTCCTTGAATACATTTATATTTCTGAAATGACAAGATAATAAATAAATACAATTCCTACATATATATAGTTTGGCAGATATTCAAATAGTGAATTGAAGTCTTATAATAAAGGGTTTTCCAATAACTTGGACTGATTTTAAATGTAAATTATGTTTAAGTGTCTAATGATTTTTCTTTTTCTTTCAGATTTAACAACTTAAGTCTTTGGCAATTTCAACCATGGAAAGATTAACAATCAAACAATGTGTTAAAGTTATTGAAGGCTATTATGAAAATGGACATTCAAACAGAAATGCATTTCACGCACTTCGTGATTTTTTTGGTCAACATCATCGACCAAATGAGAGTGCAATTGGAAACAATGTAACGTTGTTGTGGAGAGATTCAATTCCTGCGCACTATGGCGAATAGAGGGGGTCTGGATTTTCGGCCACATTCTCCCAGTTTGTTTGAATTTACAAACAATTTTCCCAATTGCACTCTTGAAACTTTAAGATGTTGTTTGTTTGTTGATCTTTCCATGGTTGAAACTGCCAAAGACTTAAGTTGTTAAATCTGAAAGAAAAAGAAAAAATCATTAAACACTTAAACTTAATTCACATTTAAAATTGGTCCAAATTATTGGAACGCCTTTTATTAGATTCTATGACCATGTCTTTTGCAATGGTGACAATACCTGTCATGATGCATTTTTTTAACTTTTACTTTCTCCTACATGTGTTGGGATGTTGTAGAGGTGTAGGTATCAGTTGCTAGAACAGAAAATGAAATCTGCGAATTAAGTTTTAATTTTGGTTGAGGCTGTTTATGTTCACTCTGCACTAATGCTCTTGGGAAAGGTATGAACCTACTTTTCCATGTGCTCTATTCTCACACCATTTAGAGATGAAATACAACATAACGTTTATCACTGAAAAAACAGAAACTGTAAACCGAATTCAAATTCTGACTGGGTTTGCTTATGCCCACTTTGCATTAATGTCTGTGGTAAAGGCATGAACCCACTTTTCCCTGTGCTCTATTCTCTCACCATGTGCATTGATGCCTGGGGGTGGGTGCAAGTGCAAGTTTAATCTGATAAGAAAAAAGAAATAGCTTCATAGTTGGCCTCAGACTATTTAGAAGTAGGGGGAGTGTTGTACTAGATGAACATGTTTTTTATGATCATGGCTCTCCACACATTCCTATTCTTTTATTATCTGTGAATTGCCATGCCTTTTTGGGAAAGATAGTTAAGTGGTTGTTGCTAGAAAGCCCAATCCATTCTGCTAATTAATCCATAGCTGGGGGGAGAGGGTACAGATTCATGTCTTTCCAAAGGACATTAGTGAGCAAGTGAATGCAGCAGGTTAACTTTAAATTTGAACTCAGCTTGCTGATTCTGTTTCTGACACTGATATGCTACACCACCTGCACAACCACTAGATCAAAATTGGCCAGAAATGTTCAAATAAAAAAATACAATAGCTAATATTTCCGAATATGCTTTGTAACATGGAAAGGCTAACTAATCCAGGCTTACAATCACATCACTTTGAAACACTGATTCTTGTATGATCACCAAAGTTAAGCAAAGTTGAGCCTGGTCACTACCTAGATGGGTGACTACTTGGGAATACCAGGTGCTGTAAGCTTGGATGTGTGGGTGAGCTAATGGATGAAGGCACAGAATTTTTTATTGGAAAGCCAAGTGACAATTCCTGTTGGGTTTGTTATATTCACTTATATGCAAATAGCCTTAGGAAAGATATGACTCCACTTCTCCTCCCAGCCATGGGTTAATTAGTATGACTTGTATCACCAAACCATTGTTATCTCCCAAAAAAGAGTTTTATTCATGGAGATTTTTTTTAAAAGAAGGTATAGGCTTGAATTAAAATCAATCTGGTTTAACATATTTCAACAGATTTATATAGTGGTGGATTCTTCCATTGTATTCTACATACAAGGGTCAAGTTGCTCAGTTCCTAGGAACCAACAGTCCAGACATCAGCACATATGATTTGATTATAGTGATGAAGGCTTTGTGCAGAACCAACCACACTTTTTGAGGGGCTGAATACAGAGACCTGGCACACTACATGCCACAAGGTCCCCAAATGACCCTCCACAGGTTTTGAATTCAGAGTTCTTCTCCTAGACCAGTTACCATCCAAGGCTATAGAACCCAGTCTGTCCTGCTATTTACCCATAGCTGGAGGGAGAAAAGGAGGATTAATACTTTTCTCAAGGTTATTAGCACGTAATGGATTTGACTGGCATTCGAACTCACCTCTCTGATTCCTCAATCCAAGCTGCTATGCACTACTCCACTGTGCCTCCATATTATATATATATATATATATATATATATATATAAAAACATGGGATGCTTATCGGGGAAAAAAGGACATCAGTTTCAGCCATTTTTATTTTTAACATTTCAGTTTATTTGTTTATCAAGCTTATTTATTTAATTTTATTATATTTTTTTACATTTTATTTTGCTTAATTTTATTTTTCTTGTATTTCTTTTTTTTTTTTTTTTTTTTTTTTTTTTTAGTGTTTTCTTTTTTGTCCCAGGTGTAAAACACAACCTGTGTTCACCTTTTATCTATGAATTCACTGTGACTTCCATCCTATGAAATTTTTATTTGACTTTAAATAACCCCAAAATGACTGATATGTAATTACATTACAATTTACTGATATGGTCCATTGAATATATAAAGATTTTGGTCTATCTTATAAATTATTATATAATTTTAATATAAACACACACACTCACACACACACACACACATATATATATATATATATATATATATATATATATATATATATATATATAATTGTGCATTTAGACAAAAATTTATCCATCACACTGTATATAATTGTATTTGGGCAGTAATCCTTCTTTTATACAAGTTTCATTAAAAACAACTGATATGGTACTGTGGTTAAGTTTTTATTTAATTTTTTTATGTTCTTATAATTTTCTCCATTTCTGGATATAAATTATGTAGAAATTATCAAAATGATTTGTATGTGTGAGTGATTTTGGTTATACACTTAGCCATTATCAAGGATGATTTTTTTTTTACTTTTAACTGAATCTATGGATAGTTTTATTTGTGTATCTATAGTTATAGGAATGTTTTATTTTCCCATATATATATATATATATATATATATATTTTTGTGTATTTAGGCAGCAAATTCTCTTTTAGGCGTGTCTGATTGAATAAATTACAAACATTATGTCTGCTTACTTTTATCGTAATCCTTTCATATTTATTTATATATTTCCGTATATATATATATATATATATATATATATATATATATACACACACTATAATAAAAGCAAAATTCAAAGATGTTATAAATACAGTGGCTCAATGCAAGATATAAAAGATATACAGGGTGGCAATAAAGTCACTATACACTTGCTTAGAATAACAATTAAGACAAAGCAATTAATTAACAGTCCAGAAATCTATTATTAAATTGTTTCTGGTTAATAACAATAAAATGCTATGGTAAACAATAGTAAATTAATTACTAATACTGTTTGAATGGCAAGGCGCCTGCTTCAATGCTTTGCTTTTTATTATAAGTAACTGTATAGTGATTTTATTGCTACCCTGTATAAAACAGATCAAAAATAAAACACAAGTATATATTTTATGAGTATCTATTATATTACCTTCTACCACCAGAAGATTGTGTAGCAGCAGTATTACCATCCATATAGGTCTACAGGAAACCTAAAGTCACAGACGGTAGTAAGTTAAGTACTGTTTCTCTTTATAATGTATATGTGTGTGTGTGTGTATGTGTGTGTGTATATGTGTGTGTGTTTGGGTGTCATGAATAAGTAATCTACTGGAAATGATGAAGACAGTCTGAGATAATGGTGTAATGAAATTTAATTTCAAAGCCTAAATTTGGGCAGCCATTTACTCCAAGTATTGGACTAATGTATTGGAAGATGTTATTTTGGCTTAAATGGATTTTTAGTCATTTGCGTTTATAAATGTTGTACTTTAAGTTTGAAAGTGAATTCTGATCATCCCAAAATAACCAAAAAGATATTAGGAAGATGTTAAATGTATTTAAAAAAATATATATAAGAACTTACAAGATAGACCAAAATCTTTATACATTCAATGGACCTTATCAGTAATTTGTTAGTTTGGTTAATTTAATGATATATCAATCCTTTTTTGGTGTTATTTAAAGTCAAATGTAAATTTTATAGGACAAAAATTACAGTGAATTAATAGACAAAGTGGACATGTGTTGGATTTACACTCAAGTTCAAAAGATGGACATGGGTCCTATTTATACTCAAGTCCAAATTCATATGGAGATGGTTGGGGTTGTATTATGCTCAGGGATGTAATTTATTCCCTATTTTTAGCTTCAGACACATGGAGGGGGTTGTTTGTATTATACTAAAGTTGTATTATACACAAAAAATACTAAAGAATGCAAATACTAAAAAATTAATAAATAAAATAAATAATAAAAAAAATACTAAAATTTTATTATACAAAAAAACTATGGTATTTTGTATCACTGGAGGGAATGGAGAAACAACACAAAGGCAGTTAGACTAGAAAAATTTAACTGATACAAGATGTAATCTAAGTATTGAAAATTGGAATGAGAACATTCTGCTCCATTGATTGAATAAAGGATTTGTTTCAAAAAGTCAAGAGGGTTACTTAGTATGACAGATACCTGAAGAAGGATGCTACAATCGTTGAACAGTTTGTCAACAACCAAGATGAGGATAATAGTACAAATGAAACGGCATATAATACCAACAATTCTTCCTTTAAAAAATTCTTTGTTGTTAATATTTATCCAACTAGTTTTCATTACTTCTGATATTAATTTTTATCTTTGTTTTTAACACATCAATTTCGTTGATGCTTTCTATTTTTCTAGTAGTTTTTGTTAACTCTTTCGTGTTTTTAACATGACATTTCAACTCCTGCGTTATTTAGTCTTCCTCATGTCTGTTGCAAAGTTGCATGAAGACACCAAACATGGTGGTTAGCAAAAGGAACAGCACAACATGCAAATTACAAATTGGAAATGCCAAAATCAAACACGTACCACAATTTAAATATCTGGGAAGTGTTTTAACAGAGGATGGTAAGTACAACACTGTATTCTGAAGGCGCATTGGGTTAACAAAAGATGCCTTCCAAAAGCTAAACAAAGTATTAAAAAATGGGAAAATTTCATTAGAAACAAAGAGGACTGAACTGTTATGTAATGTCCGTCCTCCTAAACGGCAGTGAACAATCTCCTCACTTATGAAGAGGAAACTTGAAGCAACAGAAATGTGGTTCTACAGAAAGATGTTGAGATTACCATGGTCCGAACATGTGAGCAATGGCAAAGTTTTAGAGAAAATGAAAATGAAAAGAAAAATGATACTTAACATCAGGAAGAGACAGTTTAAATTTCTAGGGTACATAATGAGGAAAGAAAGCTTGGAAAAATTGTAACCCACAAAACAGATTGAAGGCAAGAGGAAAACAATGCATAATTTATCTAACGAGTTTGGGTAAGTGGATTGCAAAGCAAGGTTTAGACCAAATTTATTAAGAGCTACAAAGAACAGGAGATTGTGGAGAGCCATGATCACTTATGTCCTGAAGGGACATATTACAAAGAAGAAGAATGTTAATACTATTAACACCTAGTCAACCTTAACACCTAGTCCTGTGATTCAGTCAGACTTAAGGGTCTCAATTGAGATGAAGAAGAAGAAACAGATAGAAAGACAGTGTTGGTTAAATGTAATATCTACTTGAGGAAGGCTGGAGAACATTTCTCCCTTTGGTAGGCTAAAGATTTGGGTTATATGAAAAGGCATTGACTTCTCAGCATTTCTGGCATTTGCCCCATGTCCTGGCTGGGCCCCAGGACCAAATGAAGTGGTTAGCAAATTAATTAATGCCATAAAAGTGCACTTGACGCCTACCTACTTGGCTATTTTGTCGACCTCTGTGTCAAGGCTGGCCAAAAAGGCCTCTGTAATTGGGAACAAATATAAAATGGTCCAAGTGTGGGTATTTTCATCCACGGTAAATATTGTTTGGCATGAGGGTTTGCCTGTCTTTAGTGGGTGGGTACTTGATTTTTAGGTGGAAAGATAACAACAGATGTTTGATCATTTCTTCCTTTTTGCTTTTCCTTCATCTTACGAGAGCAAACAGATTCTTACGGTAATGGTATTGAAGCTTTTTACATAACATGATGGTATCAAATGGTGGTGATTCTCAACAACTCTTTTTGGCAGTATACTTTTTTCATCATGTTTTCAGAATGTTATCTCTGTATGGGCTAAATAGTAGGACTTGTATCTGGAAAAATCATAGTTATGCTAAAAAAAAAAACTGTTAATATAATATTCACTTTAAAAAAAAGAGTTAGTTTTACAATCCCCACATAAATTTAAGTTATAAATAACCCACAAAGGGTTGATAAACCATAAAAAAATCACTTCAAAGATTGTTTAACTCAGAAGGATTTCTGTAGAATTATAGTTCATGGAAAAAACAATATTCAAACAGTTTGAATAACCCACAAAGTGTTGATAAAACATAAAAATAAAAATCATTATCCCAACAGTTTGAATTAGCTAATCTATAGTCCCAACACCCCCAAATGAAATCCTAAATACTCACATGATATAAAACTTCAAATATTGTCAGATGTCTGAATTTCTAGGATGAGGAGCTAGAATTATTTACATTATTTATATTTAGACTAATATCGTCATCTTTGTTACTATTACAACATTTTGGATTTCTTCAGGTGTCTCTCGATCTGAGTAATCTACAGGAAATTTTTAAATGAACCCTTTATTTAATCTATAGGGATAGATTGTTCTTAGTCTACTGTCCATCTAGGAATATCTCATTTTGTTCGTTTTAGCACTGTTCAGTTATTGCTCACCCTGTTACCACTGAGTTTGAATCTGTACTGCCCAGCCCAGGGATTGAACTCAACAATTATGATGCCACCAAATTCACAAACGAACACTTTACTCCCAATACCCTGGCTTGAAGTCCAACCCATCTTCAAGGGGGAGTTCGCACCTAGTAAAAAAACCATTGATCCAAAATTTCAAATATTTTCCTTAAATTTCTTTAATTTTGTCAAGAGAAAAATATCATGAATTAATATGTATATCAGTTATGTGATATGCATGATACACGCTTAGGCGATCATGTATCTTTCGATACATGACTGATGAGATAGATTTTTTCCTGCAGTAGGTTGCTATTTTTTTATGTGGTAGACCAGTTGTCATCCAAGGCTATAGAGCTTGGTCTATCCTGCTATTTACCCATAGCTGTGGGGAGAAGAAGAAGATTCATACCTTTCCCAAGGGAAAGCACATATATGAATGTAATTGATTACATATGTATATACTTAAGCATAAATTTTTTTTTTTAAATTTATGGACACAAACTTGCATGGGTAACATGGATTAATAACAGTTTTATACAGTCAAAATCTGAAGTGCTGATTCAATTGGAATCTCTAGGAACCAGGCTCATTTCAGCATGGCATGAGGAAACCCATCCAAATTTCCATTTTGACAATGATTAATTTAGTGTGACCCCTTAATTTTTTTTTTTTTTTTAAAAAGTTGAATGTACACAGTACAACATCTTATTTGAAAGCCAGAAAATAAAATAAAAATTAAACAGACCTTGCTGACCAAAAATCTGACCAAATGAAAATTTGTTTTAAATTCCTTCTGAGTATTTTTCAGCACCTCCTCATCTATATATCTGAGTGTACTTATGTATATGAAATTGTCTTTGAGTTGTGATATAATCTTGAGTGGATAAGCTGAAATACCTTCCTTTCCTAGCTGTTACTATCCGCTGGCATCTCTCCTTTAAGCTTGTCATTTTTACAATGGAGGATGGTGACAGACTGTCAGTGCCATGAATTCCAACACAAAAATAGTGACAAATCTGTTTGCTGCATTGAAAAGAGCCAAGCAATATGAATGTTTAAGCTGCCAGGTCCACAACTATCATCTCGTGGATGTTTTTAGGAAAATTATTAAATCAAGCATTTTACTTTTACTTCATTTTAAGATCTGTTTAAATATTGCCCTCTGTCAGCTGTCCACTTCAATGGACTGTTTCAGTCTTCACAAATCTATCCTTCACTATAGATTCACTTACCAACTCCAATGTCTGTATGTGTGTGTGTGAAAGATTAATACAGATCGAAGTTGAAATTTATTTTCAAAATAAATTCAAATATTGATGGATTAAAAAGGGATTTGGATTTATTCGGAGTGTATAGGGAGATCTCTAACAAATGACATTCCTCAGAAGAGTAAATCCCACTTCTTTGTTTATTCCTTGTATCATTGAAAAAGAACACAGGCATATTAAAAAAATTCCGACATTAAAATCCATTTCTTCATACATCAGTTCAGTCAAAAGGTTAATATAGAATAAATATCACTTTTATTATCAATATTGGTATTGTTGCTATCATTTTGTTGGCTTTTTATTCATATTTTATTAAACAACCTCTTAAATCTGTCTCTCTTTCTCTCTGTGTCATATATATATATATATATATATATATAATTATTTATTTAAAAATGATTCCAACTCGCGACATAAGAGGTCTCATGTTTCAAAACAAGAGCTGAAAACTTCAATATAATTATTTGAATTAAATTGAGTTAAAGTAAGCTCTGTTCCATCTTCAAGCGAAATTTTTTTTGGAATAACGTATTTCTGAAATTTACGTGTTTTAATAATTGAAATCAAAATTTCCATGGTAACAGCTAGGGCAAATTGTTTAAATTGGGTAGGCATGTGTTGGGTGTTAATAATACATAATAAAGATACTTGTGGAATAATAATGTTATATATATATATATATATATATATATAACATTATTATTCCATAAGTATCTTCATTATGTTTCAATTAAAAGACGTCTGAAAGTGATCAAGATATTGTAAGTTCAAAGGTTATTGCATATGCTCTGGACATTTTCCTCCCTCTTCTTCTACTCCTTTCCAAGCACTTATAGGTTTTGACAAAGCTCATCTCCATCTATAACATGACAACAAATGAGGAGAAAGAAACAAGTAGAAAGTTTATCTTACTTAAAAACATGGCCATAGGAGATTATGGTTTTCCACAGCTTTCTTTTCTTTAATAGATGTAAATTGTAAATCACCATAACTGTTCTCGAGAAAGATATATATATATATATATATATATATAGCTAATATTAGTGGTAAATATACACATACAAATGCAAAATATATAAATATATATATACATAGGTGCATACACATACATGTATATTTTTTGAATAAAAAATTCCAAGAGGATAGAATCCAGGTAGAACTCAATGTCCAGGACAGAATAAGGATATAATAAAAAGGCTTAAACCCTAATATTCCATGGTCATAATTTATTCCATTGGAATTGTAAATACGATCCAATTCATCAGACCTACAAATTCAAAAAGAAAACAGAAAAAACAACTCCGGAAAAAAAAAAAAAAATTTAGAGAGAGTGTAAGTATGAGAGTGTGGGACGAATGTTAGAGCTAAAGAGAGGGGTAACAGACGAGAGAAGGAGGGAGATTAAACCTTAACAGAGAGAATTTTTGGAGAGGTGAGTGGAAGGGGTTTAAGTGAGAGAAATATGAATGTTGTCGGATGTCTAATACATTAAAGATACATTTCGTGGTGATATACACACACCATAGATGCTCTAATGTTAAAGATCAGAATAAGAGGGAGGGAAAGGAAAGAAGAAGGGGTGGGGGAGAGAGATGGGGCGGGGGAAACTAAAACTGAAGGGCATTTACTGAAAGGGCTGCTGTGTAATTAAGAAAATTTGACAAAATTAATATTGACTACAGGTTACAAATCAAATATACACATATAAAAAATAAATATAACGATTATCTAATCTAGCAAGGACCTATATTTTTATGTTCAAAAACACATGCGAATACACACATACACAATAACATATACACGTATATACATACACACAGGCAATAAATTTATATATACATATATATATATATATATATATATATATATATATATATATATATATATTTTTATTTTTGATGGATACCCATATTTGAGTAGATACCCTGTTTCTACTTATTTATTTATATCTGCTATTCTGAATATTCTAGAAATCTCGTTAGAAAAAATATGTGCACTCCTGCAGGATTTGAACCTGTGTCCCCTAGGGGAAACCATCATTAGATCTGACTTGCCTTGACCTCAACGAACCTCCTGGTCAAAAAAATATTCAGGCTTAATGTTGAATTAATAAATGAAAATTCATTCCTCCTCTCTCTCTCTCTCTCTCTCTCTCTCTCTATATATATATATATATATATATATATATATATATATATATATATATAATAAATTAACTGATTTAAAATATGGTTTCTTCAGCCACACAGGAATTACCATGTTTCAAAAACCAAAGCTAAAAACTTCAAATTTAAATCTTTCTTTTTATTATAATATATATATATATGGCAAAAAATAATATATATAGTTTTATCTATTAAGTACAATTTTAGGAAAATCTATAACAAAAGTGTTAAAAATGAAAAGAAACTAATTAAATTTGGCTTGACTATATATATCCAAAACATATTTAAAACAAAAAATTTAAATTAAAAATTTCAGCATCCCCTTTCATTCATATGCTTATGAAATTACAACACTTTAGTCTGATGAAGTCCTGAAGGACAAAACATGTCACACGAAAAGAATTTTCCACTTTGTCATATGTTTTCCTAAAATACCCCTTATTTTCCTTTACCCTGTTGGCAGCACCTGGAATATGCTGACTGCATTTTGTGTGGTGGGGTCAAGTCCCCCCCCCCCGCCAAAAAAATAAAAATAAAGGGGCCCCCTAACTGAGTGGATGTTTGAAGACTTCACTATAAATCTGATCAATGTTTACTTAGAGATCTGTGTCCTTTATTAAAGTCTAATGGTCACCCTCACCCAGCACCAGTGTGGGTCTTGTGACCTGTCACTCCAGAAGCAGCTCTACATATAGAGTTCTTCTGTTAGTTGTGTGTTGGATTCATCACTTCTGTCACTGCTTATGACTTAGCGTAGAGGAATGTGCATTACTTGGGGAAGCTTTCTTTTCTTTCTTTCTTTTTTTTTTTCTCTTTTTCTTTGGCTAGAGATGATAACTGAGCCACTCTCATGTGGACACCATTGAGCAAATATTGTTTACTTTGGGACATTCATAAATTTCAGCTGAGTGATGATGACTCATTGTATGGAACATCATGTATATGCACAGATGCCTATCAAATCTTCATTTACTTTTGGGCAATCACATCTCATTATTACGGGAGTTGCAGACAAAAAACATAAATTACTTTGGCTGCCGACCTCATTTTTAAAATTCAGTCAATTCAAAACTCAGTCCTGGCTCGATTTTTCTTGTCATCGTTAATAGCGGAATTTCTTTCCATTTCCTTATTTTAATATAGCTTTTACTTCTCTGATCATTTTTTTTTTTTTTTATTGCTTTATTTTACCAAAATATTGATTATCCCATTTTATCGGTTGTTCAGCTGATAGTTCTGATCAAAAATGGATTCATTTATTTTTCAGCCTAGTTTGGAACTCTTTTTCAGCTTTTTGTTTCCCCTCTCAATTTTGATCTTTTAAAAACTTAAATGCAATGTCAACCATTATCTCTTGTCTTCTTAATTCCTGTTCTTTTATTGTTCTCTTCTTGATAGTGTTTTATTCTTTCACATTATTCACTAACACTCAATAACCTTGCATTTTACTGAGTTTCTTGCTTTCCTTGATGAAGTCATTTTAAAAAAAAAAACTCTAGTAAGAATGTTCTTGTTGTTTTAAAGAGTAAATTTATAGTTAAACCCCACCCTGTTGGTGTAATGAATAAGAAATTACTTGTATCACTGGATCTGACCAACGTCTTTATCCACTAAAGATAAAGATGTTAGTTAGATCCAGTAACCAGACCCAAAGAGTTGCAAGTTCAATACCAGGCCACAGCAGTGTTGAACCAAAAAACTTGCAGAGTTGAATTAAAGGGAAATAACTGAGACATCTGGAAGAGGAATGGCACATGGAACTAGAACAATCTACCCCCAGTGAATGAAATAAAGGGTTCGGTTTTAAATTCCAATCACCTGAAGAAGGCCGGAGTGTACAACGGTCAAAATGTTGTGAATATGGCAATGAAGATGAGGATAACAGTCCGAATAATGTAAATAATACAAATAATCATAATACCTCATCTCAGAGATATAGACAGAATAAGAAATTGTTTTGATCTGTTCTACCATCCCATGTACATAAGGAATCTTTACTCTTATTCTTTGTCTTAGAAGGCTGATTGTTGTTACATTGGGGACTGCTCTCTTAATGACAATTTTAGTAGCTTTATTGCCTTGTTTGTGGTGAACTGATTAAAAAAAATAAAATATGTTCTTATTTTAAAATACTAGTTGAATAATGCCCAATCTTTTTTCTTTTATATATAAAGCTTTATCTAAATGCAGCTTTCTTTAAGTTCAATATTTCGTATACTACCTGGATCACTGTAATATCTGCACACTTTCTAGAAATGTAAGTGTTGCTCATTTGCATTTCTGTCTAGTATAACATTTATTTACACACCCAATTTTTAAAAATTTGCTCCATTTATAGGGGGTGGGTGCTCAATTTCAGGGATAGACCAGATGTAGACATAAACAATATCTAGATAGGTTCATATTCCTCGCCAGTCTTTTGAACAGGAGTAGAGGTCTATCCCTTGTTTCTTGTTTAAGATTGATTTCTGGTTCCTTCTAAAGTCATTTCATTCTGTTTCACTTTTGATGGCCCCTTGTGTCCTGGTGGCATTATCACCTTGCTTGGGGTGGTCCCTCTTACTCTGTAACCCTCTACCTCGTGTGGCTCTTGTGCCTTGTACAGAGTGAATATCTTTGTAAAAAACACACACAGAAACCACAGCTGCATGGTCTGATGATTGCCTAAGGTGTAACACTGCCAGTCACCAAGCAGTGTTGATGTCTGTCTATACTGTTTATATCTACATAGGCTCTCTACGATATTGAGCACTCTAATGTCATAAGCAGAGCAATTATTTAAAATTATGCACATATGTATATAAATGTTATAGATAAAACACTTTGGGTGTAGAAATCCACATCGCATGGTGGCTAGCAGCTGTCCACCTTAATTGATCATAAAACTATTTAATACTTGCCCTTTGTATGGGCATTATATATAGGTCCTATTCAGGGTGATAAAATATATAATACAGAATCTTTTCTGCTTTGTCATTCAATTGCCTAACATTGTTTTGATATATAGAAATGTATATATCACATTCTCCCATATCGCCTCTCTCTCTCTCTCTCTCTCTATATATATATATATATATATATATATAATGCTTACCCAAAGAGGAGTGCCATATTGTCTGATGATTGCTTATGGTGTAAAACTACTAGTCACTATACAGTGTTGATTATAGTAAATTTTAATTATAATAATAATAATATTTTTTATATGCATTTTTTCCTCACCGATAGTGCAACAATGCAATTATCAGGTGCACTGAACCTGAAGATTGTTTTCTGCATGAAACTCAGCTGTGCTACTTGTAAGATAAAAAAAATGTATATTTATTATTAATATATAATTTATAGCTCTGTTATTCTATATTGAGCACTATTTTAATAACATCATCAGTCAATGTGTGATATTATATATTCATTTATATATACATATGTATGTGTGTGTGTGTATATATATATATATATATATATATATATATAATGTATGTGCATGTGGTCACACAAATCAATACTGCATAGTGATTGGCAGTCTCACGTGTTGAGTGATCATCTCATTAATATTGCTTAAAGTGTGGAACTGCCAGTCAACATGCAGTGTTGATTTCTGTGTACACAATATTGTTAGCTACATATGCTCTATCTCAGTATTGAGCACCTTTTACACATAGAGTAAATTT